GGGAATGTACACTGAGGTAAGCAAAGGTAGAGGCTTCCATTATAACAGAAACAGAGACAGGCCCTTATAACCTTTAAGATTGTGGACTTTAGATATTTTCCTCCAAAGGCATGAGGCACTAAAGCAGTTAAGGCTTCTTTTCACAGATTATATGAGTCATGAAGTCCTTTAATAATCTATTGCTCTATTCGGGGCTACAGATCTGGGAATGACTCCTAACTTTTGGGTACGGCCTCTCAATACCAAACACCTTGTTTGCTGTCACACATAGTATAAAAGCTTTTCCTAAATCAGGAATTCCCAAGGCAGAGGCTGATGACAATAACTCTAGCTTTTGAAAAGACTTATTTAAAGATGTAGTGAATCTTTGGTTTGGCCATTTCCTCAATACAAGCTACTGCACATCATTTTGAAAGGGGTTCCCCCACATATAAAAGGAAGTTAATATTTTTACTTGCCACATCAAAAGTTCTCCAAGGCACCTGGGTGGCTCTTTTTAGTTGCTTTAGGGGAGAGGGTTGCCGCATAAAGAAACTTTGGGCAGCTTTATTCCTCAAGAGAAGTTATCATTGTAGCTTAAGGTTCATCCTCCATTCAGAGGGCAAGTGTCCTTCCTTACAGTGGTTTCTTCCTTGCAGGGGTTCTTAACTCCGCCAAGGGCAGTTCTTTCCTGGTTTCTAACAGCTGTGGCAAGGATTAGACTCATTTTGGTCCTCTTCAACCTGAGGTTTCTCTGAGGGGGTCAGGTTTTTATTTGCCTGAGGAAATTTTCTTTTTCCTGTAGTTCTGCCCTCTGGGTCTGTTAGACTGTCTTTATCTTATCCCTATTGTTCAAGCTCCAAAAATCAAATTTAAAAATTGATTTAGTGATATATAGAGGTCTCACTGTCTGATTTTTGCAGTTCCTTCCTCCTATCTGGAGCAGTACATCATAAGTACTTAGCAAAATTTGACTTTAGAAATAAAAACCTCTAATTATACCAATTTAATCAAACATACCACTTTCATATAGGCTTTGTTCTCCACAAACCCTTTGTGACATACTTTAACCTTCTGATTTTGCCTTAATTCATCATTCATCTATTTCCCTTTTGCAACAATTCCTTATTTTATGTCAAAAATACCATATGAAATCCTTTCTGATCCAAAAACATTTACTTAAATTTTTTTTTGATTTATTTTTATTTTTGCATATGAATATCTTGCTTTCATGTGTGTAAGTTCATCTGTGCTGTGCAATGCCTGTGGAGGATAGAAGAGGGTGTTGGATCCCTCTGGAAATGGAGTCCAGATGGTTGTTATCCACCATGTGAGTGCTGGGAACTGAGCCTGGGTCCTCTACAAGGGCAGCCAGTATTCTTAACCACTGCTCCATCTCTCCGGTCCCATTTCCTTTTCTTTTTTAAATTATCACCAAAAATGTATTTCTAAGCCTGTAACGATTATATTTTTTTCTTACTTGATGACTGGTTCCTTTCAACCTTATTGCATGACACAGGTGCACTCGCATATATGCAGGCAATACACTCATACACATAAAATGAAAATAAAAAAAAATATAACTTCTTGCCAGGTATGGTGGCACATGCCTTTGATCTCAGCACTCAGGAGGTAGAGACAGGCATATCTCTGTGAGTTATATATATAATATATACATATATATTTAATTGGTCTTTTTTTTGTCTTTTTGAAGCAGACACACACACACACACACACACACACACACACAGATCTCTGTGAGATCAAGGTCAGCTTAGTCTACATAGTGAGTTCAGGAAAGCTAGGGCTACAGTAGGGACACCCATTAAAAAATTAATTAATTAGTTAATTAATTAAATATAAGGTTATTATATTTGGTTGTAAGGGGTTTCTAGGCCTAGAGATCAAAGGGCAAGATTTACTGATAGATAAGGGTGGATCTTGACTTCTACTTCCCCATTTCATGCTGGAGCTACTGTTCAAGAAAAGAATGAGCTGAAGCCCTGACATGAGAGCACAGTTCCAAGAAATATCTGAAGGAACAGATGCTCGAATTTTGCATCCAACCTTGGTCTTATTATTCTTTATTGTCATAAACATAATGTGGCATAGAAACTGTATACCAGGAGGTGCATAGCAGGTAGAAAAAGAGAATATGAGGCAGGAACACAGACCCTTTAGTTTAGGTCAACAGAAATGGTTAGAAATAGCAAAAGCTAATGAAGTTAAACCTTTAGGAATAACTGACCTTGACTTGCTGGCTAGTTTTCAGAACCGTTCCTGTAGTCAAAGCAACAAGTCATGAGACAGTGGTACTAAGTAAATGTTCAAAGTGTGAGCTGTCTCAAAAGCAAACAGAAGATGGAACTAAAAATCTTAGTGAAAAATCATCCTAGGAGAGAAACAGCTTTCAACTCAAACAATTCCAAATCCAGTACAAAAACAGTTGGAACAGCTGCTGAAGAAACATCTTTAGGATTTCTAAAATAGGGAAGAAAAAACAGTCCATACGGACTAAAAGAATGGCTAATGTCATGAACAATAACAACAACAACAAGAAAAACCGGCAAAAAGTAAAGCCAGCCCATGGTGGCTTATGCTTGTAACCCTAGCACTGGGGAAGCTGAGGCAGGAGGATCACTGTGGGTTTGAGACCAGCCTGAGCTACACAGTAAACTCTAGGGCAGCCTGTTCTACAAAGTGAGACCTGGTGACAACAAAAAGGAAGGCCTACGTCTAATCTTTGATTAGATTGAGATACATCTAGAAAATTAGTTGAGGTGACTCACCTTTGAGTGTGTCTGCATGGGGATATTTTCAGAGTATCAATTGAGCAGTTAAGATGTTCCTTGAAAGGCTGGAGAGATGGCTCAGTAGTTAAGAGAATTTGCTGTTGTTGCAGAGGACCTGGTTTGATTCCTAGTACCCACATGGTGGCTAACAACTATCTGTAACACCAGTGCCAGGGGATCTGACACCTTCTTCTGACCTCTGAAGGTACTGTACAACATGGGTATACTTACACACATGCGAGCAATATGCTCATTTACATAAAAATAATAATAAATAAGATGTGCCTTGAATGTGGGTGGCACCATCTCATGGGCTGGGTCCTCAGATTCAGTAAAAAGATAAAAAGGAGAAAGCACTCATCTCTGTTTCCAACTGTTGACCCAGTGTGACCAGCCTCCTCACACTTCTGCAACCATGCCTTCCCCATGATCATTGTGGACTGCAGCCTTTTGAAAAGTCAACATCCCCGACCATTTCTTTCCTTACTTTGCTTTTCTTAGGTATTTGGTCACAACAACCAGAAAAGTAGCTAATATAGGTACCCAAAGCCCTCATATTTTTGCAAATTTCCATTTTTAGCATTGTCTCATACCTTTGCACCATTTAGAGAGAATTGTTACAATGAAAAATCAGTCCAGTTGGATGTGGTGGCTCACATTTTTAGTCCCAGCACTCGGGAGGCAGAGGCAGGTGGATCTCTGTGAGTTCGAGGCCAGCCTGGTCTCCATAGTGAATCCAGGACAGCCGGGGCTACAGGGAGAGCCTGTCTCAAAAAGATCAAAAAAAAAATATGGGGAGATAGCTCAGTGGCAGAGTGTTTGCCTTGCATGCACAAGGCCCTGGGTTCAGTCTCTAGCCTAACACACACTAAAAAATACTGAATAGCAAAATATGTCAAAGTAACAGATTAGGGGTCTCTTGAATTCATGAAAGCACAAATGGACCACAGATTATATAAAAGTTGGAGTACTGCATATATAGTTGTAAATATTGTAAGGTATTGTGTGATATATAAACAAAAACAAAATTTGTAAGACAAACCGACTGCAATGTGTTTCATGTGTCATCAAATTTGTTTTTATTAAAAAATAGCTATACTGGCACATTCCTCTAATCCCAGCACTCTGGAGCCAGAAGCAGGCAGATCTCTGTGAGTTTGAGTCCCATCTGGTCTACAGAGCAAGACCATATCTCAAAAAGAAGAAAAAAGAAGCCCACAAACATTAAAAGGGATTTTTACAATAAAAGCTGATCATTAACATGAACAATGCTTTAATAGTGCTTAATAGTGTTTGCTCTTAGCCACTTATCCTTGGGGAAGAGTTGGGTCATTTTATCTATCTTAGGACCTTCATTCTTAACACCATAATGATATATTTACTTTTTTAAGCACAAAACAGTCATCTTTGACTTCTCTCTCATTTATATTAAAATGCTATCAACTTTACTTGCTGTATTTTCCAGTTGATACCTCTCCACTGCTGCTTTTCATAGTTCAGGTCCTCCCAACTTGCCCAAGCTATTAGAAATCTCAATTCCAGGTCCATAAACCTATAAAATTCTTCATACTATAAATTTTCTTTTGAACCAGATCATGCCACCCTTTTGTTCAAAATTCTTCAAGAGCCTCATCTACAATGTCTAAACTCCAGACTTACTTTTTGGCCTTCATCTTTTCGTGTCCAGTCTCACCCCTTGGTGGTCTTCCCCACGAACCGGTCTACTACTTATTAAACTCCCCAGAATCTCACAGCCCCAGCACTTTGCCAACCTTCCCATTAGTCGGCGGCACTTTCTCCCTATTGATTGTGTGGCCAAGCCGCTTCTAATTGAAGCAGCAAGAGAAACCTAAACTCTACAGACGCCCCAGCCATCCTCACACTATCCCTGTGTCCTCCAGGACCTTTAGTGATTCGAGGGCACAGTGATTGCTTGCATACACGCTGCCTTGCTAGGCTCCTGTTCGCTCTATGCGGGCCATCCTGGACTTTTCGGCCCTCGGCTTTTCTATTTGGGGCCACGACCTCCCTCAGTATTCTTAGACAAGAGCAGAAGCTCATAGAGCTTTAAGGAGAATCAGAATCCGGGATAGAATGGGCCCGGGAAGGTAAGTCTCGCGAGATGTCATACGGGAACCTGGCCCCGTTATTAGCGCGCTGACCGTTATTTAGTGGAGTGCTGCCGCCTCCCGTTTCTCGCAGGTTCTGAGGGTAGAGTTCGCGGTTCTTTTCTATGTCTCCATAGAGAGGAGCACTCGAGGCACGAAGCCCGCGGGCCCGCTGGTTCTGCCCAGGTGAGAGCCGGTGACTGGGCTTCGCGGGATGCTGGGCAGGTGACTAGAGGTGGCGACGCCGCGCCGGTGGCGTCCTCATGGCGGCGTCCTCACGGTGTCCCTCATGGCTCCTCATGGCGGCGTCCTCACGGTGTCCCTCATGGCTCCTCATGACGGCTTCCTCACGGTGTCCCTTGAGGAGTCCTCATGGAGTCTCTCAGGGCGTCTTCACGGAGTCCTCACGGCTTCCGCGTGGCGGTGTCTCCTTCGCGGGGCGTCGCCCACAGGGCTTCGCGGGCCTACGCGGCTTTTCGGTCTGGCACTGGGAACGATGTGGAGGTTCCGTCGGGGCTGGTGGCCACGTGGTGGGCGGACGTGGGGGGGACACGGCGGGGCCTCGCGGGGCCTGCATCTTTGTCCACACGCCAGGGATGACACAGGCGGGGGCGGTGGCAGAGAAGGCTGGACCCACTTTCTAGCTCCGCAGGGTACAAACCGGACCATAGAGAGTCCTAACCAAGTAATGCCAAGCTCTTCCCTCCTCCCTGAGTCCTAGTAGGTGCCTGCCGAAGATAGACATGGAAAAGCAGAAGCCCTTCAAGCTGTTTGTACCCCCACGACTGAGCAGCAGTCAGGTGTCTGCTGTGAAACCTCAGACCTTGGGAGGAGATTACAACTTCTCGAAGGTAAAATTGCATCTGAATCGTGACTAGACTGTTGAAGAAAGTGTGCTTGGGCTGAGGAAATGGCTCAGTGGGTAAGGGGCTTGTTGCCCACCTGAAGACCTGAGTTCAATTTCTGGAAGGAGAGAGTCGACTCCTCTAAGTCATTCTCTGATTTCAACATGGGTGTATACACACACACACACGCACACAAATGTACACAAAAACTAAAGTGTGTTTTCTTACTGGTTATAGAATGCTTTTTAGTAAATATTTGTTATATTCAATATCCATATATATATATATATATATTTTAAGATAGGATCTCCCTGTAGCCTCAGCTGGCCTGGAACTCACCATGTAGACCAGACTGGCCTGGAATTAAAAAATTCACTTCTGCTTCCTGAGTGCTGGGTTTATAAGACATGTGCCACCAAACCTGGCTCATCCAATACTTTAAAACTTTTTGTTTTATATGTATGAATGTTTTACTTATATATAAGTGCATTTCATACCTGGTACCTTTGGAGGCCAGAAGAGGGCATTGGATCCCCTGGAACCGGAGTTAAGGATGGGTGTTAGTTGCCATGTGGATGCTGGGAACCAAACTTGGGTCCTCTGGAAGAGAATTGATCTTAACTGCTGAGCCATCTCTTGAGCTTCATCCTCAGTAATTTTAAATAGCATCAATTCAACAGAAAACAAGCCTTTTTGTGTGTAGGTAACACTTATTTAAAGAATCACTGCTGCTGTAGAACTCTACATAAATAGTAAGATTGGAGCGGGAGAGATGGCTCAGGAATTATGAGCAGTGACTGCTCTTGCAAAGGATGCAGGTTCGATCCCCAGCACCTTCATAACAGCTAACAACAGCCTGTAACTCCAGTTCTAGGGGATCCGATGCCCTCTTCTGACCTCCAAGGGCATTGCACAACATGGGTGCATTTATACACATGTAGGCAATGCACTCATACACACACACACACACACACACACACAGTAGGATTTGCTTATTTAACAATTACATGTTAAATGACTTGAGGTAGCTTATTTATATTTTTGAGACAGGGTCTCACTTTGTAGCCCTGGCTGGCTTGGCGCTCTCTGTGTGTAGACTAGGCTGGCCTCAGAACTCTCAGAGATATGCCTCCTGAGTTGCTGGGATTAAAGGTGTGTGCCACCACACCTGGACTTACTTTTTTTTATTAGCATATATTAATACACAATAATGGGTTTCACTGTGACATTTTCACACATGCATGTAATATATTTTGACTATGTTCACGTGTATGTATTGTATTTTGGCCATGTTCCCTTTCTTGCCCCCTCTTCCTCTTTCCAACTAGTCCCTGTTCTTTCATGTTTCTTTGTGTGTGAGGGATACCCAGTGCATTTTATTAGTTGCTTACAGGAATGTAGGCACTTACCTAGTGGCTATACCACCGAAGAAAATGTCTCTCCAGATTTGAGGCAGTTCATAAGGAGAAAATATGAATTCGAAGAAAATTAGAAATTTTACAAGGACAATTAGGACTATTAGGACAAATGGCTACATATGGGTAATAAATAGTGTTCTGAGTGGGTTTCTTGGTGAATAGGGTAAAGAAGAAAATTTACCTCAGTAAAATTCTTATTGAAAAGAGAAATTGCACCATATTTCTCAGGTGAAACAGCTTTTTACAGTAAATTTTTAAAAATTATTTTCTTTTTATTTTTTTAATTTATGTTTATGCGTATATGACCTGTGTGTAGGTAAGTGCACCCGTGTCATGCAGTGCCCGCAGAAGACAAAAGAGGCTGTCGGATCCCCTGGAATGGGAGTTATGGACAGTTGTTAGCTGCCATATGGGTGCTGGGATTCAAACCTGGATCTTCTGCAAGAACAGTGTTCTTAACTGCTGAGCTATCATCTCTCCAGCTCCTTATTTATTAATTTTATGTGTACGAGTGTATTGCTTGCATGTATGTGAGTGCACCCGTGTTGTGCAATGCCTTGGAGGTCAGGAGGGCTTTGGATTCCCCTGGAACTGGAGTTAACAACGGTTCATAGCTGCCTTGTAGGTGCTGGGAATTGAACCCTGATCCTCTGCAAGAGCAGTCAGTGCTCTTAACCACTGAGCCAGTTCTCTAGCCCCTATACTACTTAATTTAAAAAAGTTTCCCAGTGGTACTTTATATGGAAGGCAGGATGATGCTATTAATAGTTTAATTTTATATGCTGTGAAAAATTTCTTATGGATTCTCTAGCCAAGATTTATCAATAAAGTCGCATTTAAAGAAGATGTTGAAACTATATACTATTAAAATTGCTATTCTTGAATACCTACAAACATTTGCTAAGTAATTTATAGCTTACGTCCATTTTACCAATGTTTTGATGGGCTGGAGATGACTCAGCAGTTAAGAGCATTGGCTGCTCTTGCAGAAGACCTTGATTGGGCTTCCAGCATCCACATGGCAGTTTGCAACTGTTCATAACTCTAGTTCCAGGGGGATCTGATGCCTTCTTCTGATCTCTTTGGGCATTGTATGATGTGTGCACTTACATGCAAGCAAAACACTTCATACACAAAAAATTAAAAAGTTTTCTTTTGAATTGGGGTTGGTGGTACAAGCCTTTAATCCTAGCATTTGGGAGGCAGAGGCAGGCAGTTTCTGTGAGATTGAGGCCAGCCTGGTCTACATAGCAAGTTCTAGGCCAACTGGGGCTTTAAGAAGACCTTGTCTCAAAAATTGTTTTGCTTTGTTTGCATAGCAAAAGCATTTACTATTTTAAGCACTATATATAAATCAAAGGACATAGAGTGGCTACTTTAAGCAGATAGTACATTATACATTTGTGTATTACATATCTCAAAGTGATATTGAACAGTATGCTTAATCTCTTTGTATTTCTAGACTTCCAGCAAATGTACAAAAGATGATTTTGGTTTTTCATTTATACCTAATCTCTCCAAAAATGGGGAAAACATTGATTCAGGTAGGCCATAGATATATTTTATTACATACATGGCTAGTAACTGAAGATACAATTTATTATTTTTATTTTATGTGTACACTGATATTCTTGACATTTAACTAGATAAAATAGTATAAAACTCAGATATTAGCATATTTAATAACAGTTTTTTTTTAAAATTTCACAGATCCTACATTACAAAAAAGTAGCTTTTTGCCCATGCTTGAACAGGTTAGTAAACATAGATAATACCTGTTAGGTATTGAATTGATTATTTGAAGAAGAAAAAAAAACCCTTTAGTTATTAGATTAATGGTCTTGTGTATTTTAATTTTTATTACATTTCTTTGTGTGTGTGTGTGTGTGTGTGTGTGTATGTGTGTATGTGTGTGTGTATATGTGTGTAGGTCAGAGGACAACTTGTGGAAATAGGTTCTCTCCTTCCATCATGTAGGCCACAGGGATTAGGTTCTCTTAGTGGCCAGAGCCATTTTCACTGACCCAGTTGTCTTGTGTATTTAACTGGCATTATTTTTAAGCTCTCAAAAATATATTCTTACAGGAAGCATTTATATTTTTAGGTTGCTGATTCTGGCAGTTGCCACTATCAGGAAGGACTAAAAGACTCTGATTTTGAGGTTAGCTATCCCATTCTTATTAAACTTTTTATAATTGGAATGTCATTTATTGTTTTTATATATTCAAACTTCCAAAGGATTAATATTTGGTTATAACTTTAAGATACATTCTTTGAAGCCTTTCTTTTGGTGATTCCGAGGACTAAACATTTTAGGCAAGTATTGTGCCACAGAGTTACATTCCTATCACCCCATTTTTTTCTTCTTTCAGTAGTTGAAGTGCTAGGCTTCTCTGTTTTTCATGGGTTGTAAAACCAGTTCTTTGGGGGAACTTTAATTTTAAATAAAACATTAGGAAAAATGGAGACAGATATAATGCGAAAAGGCTGAGAATCATGCCAGTATTTTACAAAATAATCCTTTATGTAATAGATGAAATTGGTCATCTGACTGCTTTATTGTATAAGGAATTTATTTGCAGGACATGCTATAATTTTAAATATTTGTTATAAAAATCATTCTTACAGCATATAGATGGTTTTTAAATTAAGGAAAATTCCATGGCCTGATAAAGTGACACATTTATTGTGCTTAATAGTGTCACAGAATTAAAAAAATTGGAAAAAGTTCATTTATTTTGATAAGTTATCAGTAAACAAAATTCAGGTTATTTTTAAGAAAGTTTATTTATTATTTTATTTTTATGTGTATGCGTGTATTGCCTGCATGTACGTAAGTGTACCTGTGTTGTGCAGTGCCCACGGAGGTTAGAAGAGGCTGTTGGATCCTCTGTGACTGGAGTTACGGACAGTTGTTAGCTGCCATGTGGGTGCTGGGAATCGAACCTGGATCTTCTGCAAGAACAACCAGTGTTCTTAACTGCTGAGCCATCTCTCCAGCCCCTATTCAGGTTTTTTTTTTTTTTTTTTGATCTTTTTGAGTCAGGGTCTCCCTGTAGTCCCATCTGTCCTGGAGCTCACTATGTAGACCAGGCCGGCCTTGATCTCAGAGATCTACCTGCCTCTGCCTCCCGAGTGCTGGGACTAAAGGCATGCGCCACCACACCCGGCTATTCAGGTTATTTTTAAAGAAACAGGTTTTGGAGTATAACTCAGTGTAGAGCTACATAATTTGCTTAGCATGTGGGAGTCTTTGAGTTGGAGCCCCAGCTCCCAAAAGAGAAACAAAACACCAAATGAAAACAATCTCCTCTGGCATTTATAATACAATGTGCATAAAAAGACAAGAACTAAATAAAACTCCAGGCTTAATGAAAGTTACATATTTTGTTTATATTTTTCTTGTCATTATGTTTTAAATGGAAGTCTTAAATTAATCCTTAAATTATTTCTCTTAAAGTGCTTTAAGACCAAGCCGGGCATGGTGGTGCATGCCTTTAATCCCAGCACTTGGGAGGCTGAGGCAGGCGGATCTCTGTGAGTTCAAGGTCAGCCTGGTTTATGTAGTGAGTTCCAGGCCAACTGGGGCTACAGGGAGACCCTGTCTAAAAAAGACCCCGCCTCCAAATGCTAACATTTATAACTTTGCTGTGGATTGATTTATTTTAGCTTTTATCCAGTCATAGTCTGTCATTAACTAAAATGTTTCTAACTTCTTAAGCATATTTCAGTCTTGATTTTTATTCAATAACTTTAGTAAAATAGCAAATACTGCCTTGGTACTATAAAGGAGTTAATTCTGCTAGAGCATTAATTGAATACAGAATTGGTTTTTATTAGTATATGAATATTTTAGTTTGATTATATTAAAGTTATGAACAATTAACTTTTGGAAATATATTTTAATAGAATTCTGAGCCAATGAACAGACTATATTTAAAGCTGTATAAAGAGGCTGAAAAGATCAAAAGGTGGAAAGTGAGTATAGAATTGGAATTGAAGCAGAAAGAAAATAAGCTGCAAGAAAACAGAAAGATAATTGAAGCACAGCGAAAAGCCATTCAGGAACTGCAGGTACAATGATGCTTTGAATTATAAATATGGCACACACACAAGAAGCCCTAAGACTAGCTGAGGGATATTGGCAACTGATACCTGCTGGGAAAGGGAGAGTCAGTTTTAAGGATGTAATACCAGGTAGATTGACCAGGCTCTAGGGGATAACTCACATCTAAGAGCATTTGGGGATGCAGATTAGACTCAATAAGCCTTAAAAAAATAAAAGAGAGCCGGGTGTGGTGGTGCATGCCTGTAGTTCCAGCACTTGAGAGGCAGAGGCAGGAGGATCTCTGTGAGTTCAAGGCCATGTGGGTGCTGGGAATTGAACCCAGATCTTCTGCCAGAACAGCCAATGTTCTTAACTGCTGAGCCATGTCTCCAGCCTCTGGAGTTGACTTTCATGCAAGGTGATCCAGTTTTGCCAGTACCATTTGTTGAAGATGCTGTCTTTCCTCCATTGTATGTTCTTGGCAACTTTGTCAAATATCAGGTGGCTGAAATTACACATACTCAGGTTTGGGTCTTCAGTGATGTTCCATTGATGTATGTGTCTATTTTTGTGCCAGTACCATGCTGTCTTTATGACTATAGTGCTGTAATATACTTTGAGATCTGGTATAGTAATCCCCCCAGTGTTGCTCTTTGTGCTCATAGTTGCTTTCGCTATCCGGGGTCTTTTGTGCTTCGTTATGAATTTAAAGATTTTTTTTTCTAACCCTGTGAAGTATGTCATGGGGATTTTGATTGGGATTGCACTGAATCTATATATTGCTTTTGGTAGGAATATTGAGATGACGATTTGGTTTTTGTCTTTGAGTCCATTTGTATGATTAATGACGTTTATTGACTTGCGTATATTGAACCAGTCCTACATCTCTGGAATAAAGCCTTCTTGATCATGATGAATGATCTTTGTGTTTTGCCAGTATTTTGTGGAGAATTTTTGCATCTATGTTCATTAAGGATATGGGTCTATAGTTTTCTTTTTTGGTTGTGTCCTTACCTGGTTTGGGTATTAGTGTGATGCTGGCTTTAGAGAAGGAATTTGGGCTTTCTCTGTCTGTTTCTATCATTTTGAATAATTTAAGTAGTATTTGTGGAGGTTTTCTTTAAATGTCTGGTAGAGTTCTGATGTAAATCCATCTGGGCCTGGGCTTTTTTCAGTTGGGAGGCTTTATATTACTGTTTCGATTGCCTTATATGTTAGGGTCTGTTTAAACTGTTGCTCTCTTCTTGGTTTAGCTTTGGTAGTTCCCATGATTTTAGATATCCATCCATTTCTTTTAGATTTTCAAATTTTGTAGTATATAGGTTTTTAAAACATTCCCTTATAATGGTCTGGATCTTTTAGGTGTCTGTTGTGATGTTTCCCCTGTCATCTCTGATTTTGTTGTTTTGGATTTGCTTTTTCTTTCTTTTGGTTCACTGGGCTAAGGATCTATTTATCTTGTTTAGCTTTTCAAAGAACCAGCTCTTAGATTCATTGATTCTTTATATTGTTTTCTTTGTTTCTATTTCATTAATTCCTGCTCTGATTTTTGTTTTTTATTTTCTCTTCTGCTGAGTTTGGGTTTCATTTGTTTTTGCCTTTCCAGCATCTTGAGTTGCAGTGTTAGGTCACTATTTGGGCTCTTTCTACCTTTTTAATGTAGGCACTTAGTCCCTCTTAGGACTGCTTTAAAGTTTTCCAGAGGTTGTGTTGTATTGTCCTTTTCGTTGAATTCCAGAAATTCTTTTATTTCTTAATTTCTTCTTTGACCCACTCATTGTTTAGGAGTGTGTTACATCATTGCCATGAGTTCGTGCCGTGACTAGGGATTTGTTCAGTGTTGATTTTGAGCTTTATTGCATTGTGGTCCGATAGAATGCATGGAATTATTTCAGTTTCTTTGAATTTGTTGAGGTTTGTTTTGTGGCCCAGTATGTATTCAAGTTTTGAAAAAGTTCTATGGGGTGCTGAGTAGAAAGTGTATTCTTTGGTGCTTGGGTGGAATATTTGAAAGATGTCTGTTAAGTTCATTTGATGTGTGGTATCATTTAAATCAGATGTCTCTCTGTTTATTCTTTGTCCAATTGACCTGTCTAATGGAGACAGTGGGGTGTTGAAGTCCCCTACTCTTACTGTGTTGGGGTTAATCTGTGTCTTAAAGTCCTGTAGTGTTGTTTTTATGAATTTGGGTGCACCAAAAGTTGGTGCATATATGTCAAGGATTGTAATATCTTCTTGGTTAACTGTTCCTTTGATCAGAATGAAGTGACCCTCCTTATCTCTTCTGATTAGTTTTACTTTGAAGTCTATTTTGTCAACCCCTACTTGTTTCTTAGTGCCATTTTCTTGGAATATTCTTTTCCATCCTTTTACCTTAAGGTAGTGCCTGTCCTTGAAGGTGAGATTGGTTTCTTGCAGACAGCAAAGAGATGGATTTTGTTTCTTTATTCATTTGCTTAGCCTGTGTCTTTTGACTAGGGAGTCAGTCCATTAATATTTAAGGTTATTATTGAAAGGTATGTATTGGTTGCTGTCATTTTGATTGCTGTTTGTGTTCTTTGTCTAATTTTGTGTTTCCTCAATCGTTATTATTTTTTGTTGCCCCTGGGGTATAGTTGTTTCTCTCTCTGGTCTATGTATTGCTTTAAGTATTCTTTCAAGGGCTATTTTCATGGACATCCATCCTTTTATTTTATGTGTATGCATGTATTGCCTGCATGTAGGTAACTGCACCCGTGTTGTTCAATGCCCCCGGAGGTCAGAAGAGGCTGTTGGATCCCCTAAGATAGGAGTTACAGACAGTTGCTAGCTGCCGTGTGGGTGCTGGAATTCGAACCCAGGTCTTCTGTAAGAACAACCAGTGTTCTTAACCGCTGAGCCATCTCTCCAGCCCCAGAACATCTATTCTTTCACTCTATTTGTGTCATGTAAATTTTTCTTTCTCCTTCAACTAATAGGCATTTTTGCTGGGTAAAGTATTCTGGGCTGACATCTGTTGTCGTGTAGAACTGGAAATACCTTGGTCCAGGCACTTCTGGCTTTCATAGTTTGCATTGATAAGTCAGCTGTAATTCTGATGGGCTTTCCTTTGTATGTGACTTGTTGTTTTTCTTTTGCTGCTTTCTGTATTCTCTCTTTGTTCTGTGCATTTAGTGTTTTTACTATGACATTTTATGGGGAGTTTCTTTTCTGATCCTGTCCATTTGGTGTTCTATGTGCTTCCTGTATTTGTATGGGGATGCTTCTCTTTTTTTTTGGGAAATTCTCTTCTACAATCTGGTCAATACCATTAACCTGCAATTCTTCTCCTTCTATGCCTATGATACATAGATTTGGTCTTTCATGGTATCCTACATCTCTTACATATTCCATTCTTATTTTTTTTTAATTTTCCATAATCTTTGCTTGAGGGATCCAAGTCTTCAACTTTATCTCCCAGTGTTGATATTGTTTTCCATTTCATTCATTCTAACGGTGAGCCTTTCCCCTGTTGTTTCAAGTTGGCTTATTGAGTTTTGCACTTCCTTCTTCATTTCTGCCCGAGTTTTCTTCAATGTTTCTCTTTTGTGAATTCATTCAGATGTTTATCCCTATCTTCTTTTAGCTCTCTGATTTGTTTGTTCATGTATTCTTTAAATTCCTTGATCATGTTTAGGATTGTTCTTTTAAATTCCGTGTTCTGTGTTATCTCTAGAGGTTTCTCCTTGTAGAACCCTTCTACAGGACTGGCGGAGTTTGGTGGGGACATAGTGTTTTGGCTTTCCATTTTATTCTTTCATTGTGATTTTGGCATGTGAATTTCTTTTGTTGTTTATGATTCTTATATGAGAATTAAGTTGAAGTATGCTTCTCTTTGTATTATTGATGTGCCTCTCTCCTTTCCTTATTGGTTATTAAAAGCTGGTTGGTCCAGTTTCAGGTTCTCTCAGGTTTTATTTTGGAGGGAACTGATGGCTTCAGATCAGCTATTCAAGAGCATCCACAGAAGTCTGTCAGGTTCTAGTCAGGTACACTCAGACTTCCTTCTAAGGTTTGGACCCCTATTAGCAGGAACTCATAGCAAAATTTGGGAAGTTTCCTAATTGGGAGGGGGTGATTTTAGGACTCTCAGTTGGTCCCCTGAGTTCTCAGCTTCTATACCAGAGGGAGGCCAGAACTGGCACTCTCTGGTGGTCTGCTGAGATCACAGCCACTACACTGATTACACTGATAGAGGTTGGAACCCACCCTCTCAGGCTGTCTCCTAAAATCTCAGCCTTAGCCTGACAAAGCCAAGTCTTCCCTGGGGCCTTGGGAAGGGCCTCACAAAATCCCAGGAAGGGGGATTGGTATGGCACAATTAGGGGAAGCCCACTCCCATGCGGAGGCAGGATCCGGGAGCTCTCAGGCAGTCCCCTGTGTTCTCAGCCCCTGTGCCAGAGGGAGGCCAGTGAGATGGCGGTCTGCTGAGATCACAGCCACTACACCCAATGGAGGTTGGAGCCACCCTTTTAGGCTGTCTTGACCCTTATTTATTATTAAAGTTTAAAATGAAGTTCTATTTTTTTTGATTTATGTCATGTGCATGAGTGTTTTGCATGCATGTATGTTATGAGCACCTGTGTCATGCAATGCCTGAGTAGGACAGAAGAGACCATCAGATCCCCTGGAACTGGAGTTGCAGACAGTTGTTAGCTGCCATGTGGGTGTTGGGAACTGAACCCAGGTTCTCTGCAAGAGCAGCCAATGTTCTTAACTGCTGAGCTATCTCTTCAGCCCCTAAAATTAAGTTCTATTATTGATGATCTATTTGCTGTAAATGCCTTTTATTATATCAGAATATATTTATATACAAAACTTTAAAAGTTTAGCTTTGATATTATAGCATAAAAGAGAAAAAAGTCAAGAAAATATAAGCAAATAAAATACCTCAAAGTTATTAGCAAAGGTGATATTTTACTAAAATATTGTTGAATACTTTTGGAGATCATTCAGCAAATTTTAGGCTGATGAAAGAGAGAGGTTCCACTCCCCATTTTACATTTATTATATATATATTATATAAAATGTATGTTTATATATATTATATAAAATGTATGTGGGTGTGGTACAGTGCACACGTGGAAGTCAGAGGATAACTTGTGGGAGTCAGTTATCTCCCTATACCATGTAGGTTTTGGGAATTGAACTCAGATTGCCAGGCTTCATGGCAAGTACCCTTACCCACTGAACCATCTTGCTACCCCCTCCCACTTTTTATTTGAGTTGGTTATGGTCTCGTGTAGTGCCGGGGGTTCGAACCAGGGACCCCTGGCGAGGTGAGGATTGGGGATGAGTAAGCACGCCATTCTCCAGGCCACGCTGCCCCCATTACCCGGGGACACTCAGACGCAATGGGGAGCCTAGTCAAGCAGGGACTCATTTATTGCAAGTGTTCCAAAGCTTATAAAGGCACCTGGAACTCCCCCCTCCCCCCGAGGGTGTATCTTAAGGATGGTCACTCGCTGATCATGCACTCCTCAGCAGTGCGGAAGTATTCTTCAGACTTTCAAAGCAAGCCAGGCCGCGCCCCCAGTAACTTCCTTTCAGACCTATGCAAGGTGGGGCTTTTAGGTCCCCACAGTGTAGCTCAGGCTGGCCCCATACTTTATAGATGAGGCTGGCCTTGACCTTCTGTTCCTACTGTCTCTATCTCCCAAGGAGACCCATATTTTATAGTAAGTCCGTAAGATGTAACAAAAAGTTCTTTTTATGTGGGAAGAAAAGAATTCATACAGATCTTATGTTAATAAAAAAGCCAGCCTGCTAGATGACCATAACTCATTTATTTTTCTAAGTGAAATGTAATGAACTGTATTTTTTGTTTTGTAAATTAGTTTGAAAATGAAAAAGTAAGTCTGAAATTAGAAGAAGAAAGTGAGGAAAATAAAGATTTAATAAAGGAGTAAGTAATAGTTTAATTTTACTTTCAAATTTATTACTAAGATCATTTTTATTTCTTAGCATTTTCTATGTGTTATGTAACATAACAATAGTAATTTCTACCCGAGTGTAATTCTGCATTCTTAGATATGGCAAACTGTGGTCATTGATGAATAACCTCTCACTTTAAAATGTCAGTTGTCAGGAAGAATCATTGCATGCTGTTAAAAAAGGTGTCTGAAAATTCTATTTTGAATGTTTTAATAAAAAAAAATTATTTATTTTTTATTACAGGTGTATGCCTGTTTTGTCTGCATGTACTTAAATACAGTGCCTGCGGGGGCCAGAAGAGGGTGTCAGATCCCCTGAAACGAGTTACAGATAGTTGTTAGTTGTCCTGTGGATGCTGGCAACTGAGCCCTGTTCCTTTGCAAGAGCAGCCAGGCCTCTTAATAGCTGAGCCATCTCTCCTTCCCCAGTGTCTTGAAATTCTAGATCTAGAACTTCCTTTGTATTATTTTCCACCTTCTCTGTTTCACTATTGCTGTATGGAGCAACACTTATGAAATAGAACTCAACTTATTTCAAAATGGATTCTTTCTCTCAAATGCCCATTTTTTTCTTAGTATAAAATTTCTACTGAAAAATTATGACTTGAGAAATTAAATCTAACTGTTCTCTATATGTTAGTAACATAAAACAATACAACTAGAGGTCTTAATCAACGAATGCCTACTGAGAACGTTATATTTGGTTTTTAAAGGTTATGCATATAGTACATTTTGAGGGTAATTAGTAAATGAAGTCTAACTCTCTCATTATTTTTCCTAGACAAATCTGGAACTATTCCCTTAAAGGGTATTACTAGCACCTTGCTCTAGAGAATTGTGAATGAGTTGTCAGTTTTACTTAAAGGGAAGTAGTTACTAAATTATGTTTGCTAATATTACACACAATCTACTTTTCTTTGATATAATCATTACTGTGTGATACGTACAAAAGACAGTATTTAAAAATATTTTGGGGGACTGGAGAGATGGTTCAGCAGCTAAGAGCACTGGTTGTTCTTACATAAGCCTGGGTTTGAATCCCAGGAGAGTGGTGGCTAACAGCTGTTTGTAATTCCATTTTCAGGGGATCTGACACCCTTTTCTGCCCTCCACAGGCACTGCATGACACAGGTGAACTTATATGCATACATGCAGGCATAATAATCATATACATAAAATAACAAAGATAAGGAGCCGGGCATGGTGGAGCACACCTTTAATCCCAGCACTTGGGAGGCAGAGGCAGGTGGATCTTCGTGAGTTTGAGGCCAGCCTGGTCTACATAGTGAGTTCCTGGACAGCCAGGGCTTACAAAAAAAAAAAAAATTAACAAAAAATTTTCCCATAAGAATTGTAGCTAAATACTTTATGACTTTTATGTATGTTTTTGCTTGAGATCAGATTATATTTAGACAAATTCTCTGTTTCAGGAATAATGCTACGAGGCATTTATGTGACCTATTCAAAGAAACCTGTGCCAGAGCCACAGAAAAGACGAAGAAATGTAAATATCTTTCTTGTTTTACCAATTTATTATTTAATAGTAGACACAGGAGGAGAAATTGTTTTCAATTCTTGGAACTAATTTTGATTTCAGTAGTTTTATGTATCCCAGACATTTTTTTTTAAAAAAATAAGTATTAATTAAGTTTTCTAGTTTTGAAAAGTAGAATATATCAAGAAGTATATACTTGGCATTTATAGTTAATCCTCATTTTAGTTAAAGTGTGATTTTAGTACTAACCTTCTGTATGGAACAACCAGGAAACTGAATAAAAAATAAGATACATAGTCATGTCCATAATAGAAAATAGGAGCAAAGGGCTGTGCTGTAGGCATGGTGTATTGATAGTCTGTACTAACTACATTTAGGTCAACAATACAGTGTATTTAAGACAGTGGTCTCACAGAGTATAAAAGATTTGAAAAAATTCATCTACTCATGTAACCTTTGTAACACTGTAGTGTACCATAAATAGTGGTAATGCTTGTAATCTTATCACCTTGGAGGCTGAGGCAGAAGGATTGAAAGTTTGAGGCCAGCCTGGACTATATAAGGAGATGCTGTCTCAAAGAACCAAGAAAAATAAGTTGAAGTTTGAGGCCAGCCTGTACTATATAAGGAGATGCTGTCTCAAAGAACCAAGAAAAATAAGTAACTATATAATGAGAATATAAAGAAAGAAAATATTTTTGTTCAGTTGTATAATATTTTTGTTTGACTGAAAAAAATTATAAAGTTTATATATAGTAAATTAGTTGCGATAAATTTAGGTTAATTTGGTTTCAAAACATTTTTAAATATATTTTATTTATTATTTTTGTTTTGTGTATATGAGTGTATTGTCTGCATGTGTGTAAGTGCACCCATGTTAGGCACTGCCCACGGAGGAAGAAGAGGGCATTGGTTCCCTTCAAACTGGAGTTACGGACAGTTGTTAGCTGCCATGTGGGTGCTGGGAATTGAACTTGGGTCCTCTGCAAGAGAAGAACCTAGGAAATTTTTCTTTATTTTCTTCTTTCTTTCCTTATTTTTAATTTGTTTTTATTAAAATTTTGTTGTATTTCGTACAGAATATCTCAAACAATCTGAAACATCTTTATAGCCCCGTCCCCACCGAACCCTCCCATAGCCCCCCCCAATGGAACCCATACACTCTAGAACCTAGGTAAATTTAAAGAAGGTAAACATATAAGGATATTGAACTCCCTGTTTCTATCCCTCTGAAATTTTCCTCTCAGATTCATCCCATACTGAGTTTCTGGCAATGTCAATTACAGTTCAGGGTCTTTTTTTTTTTTTAATTTATTTTTTCACTTTAAATTTATTTTTTATTATGTATTTTCATTTTTTAAATATATTTTGTTATTTTTATTTTATGTGTATGAGTGTATTGCCTGCATGGATGTGACTGTACCCGTGTTGTGCAGTGCCGCGGAGGTCAGAAGAGGGTGTCAGATTCCCCTGGAACTGGAGTTGAGGACGGTGTGTAGCCACCATATGCGTGCTGGGGATTGAACCCGGGTCCTCTGCAAGAGCAGTCAGTGCTCTTAACCCCTGAGCCATCCTTTCAGTCCCTTGTATTTTCATTTTTCATGTGTATAAGTGTTTTGCCTGTATGTATGCAACATGCATACTATGCCTCTGGAGTCCAGAAGAGGGTGTTGGATCCTCTAGAACTGGAGTTATGGATGGTTGCCAGCCACCATATAGGTGCTTGGAATTGAACCCTGGTCCTTTGCAAGAGCAGCCATTGCTCTTAACTGCAGACCCATCTCTCCAGTCCCCAGGGTCCCCTTTTAAAAAATGTTGGCTCTAGTTCCCAGAGTTTTCTGCTCCTGCCTTTCTGCCCAGGTAAGTTGTGATTTTTCTCTGCCTCTAATTCTGTAGGTTGTGGTTTGCTCAATTTTCTTTTGGATCTGAGATTTTGAGTTTGCTGTCTTTTTTTTTTTTTTTTTTTTTTTTGGTCTTTTTGAGACAGGGTCTCCCTGTAGCCCCAGCTGTCCTGGAACTCACTGTGTAGATGAGGCTGGCCTTGAACTCACAGAGATCTGCCTGCCTCTGCCTCCCGAGTGCTGGGATTAAAGGCGTGCACCACCACTCCTGGCAGAGTTTGCCATCTTTTTAACTTGTGGAATATCAAATTCCAAGCCTCTTACAACAAAGTTTTGGACCAAAACTGCTTCTAATACTAATTTGAAGACTCAGAAGTGAATTACAAATATTTTTTATTTTCATAGAATTTTAAATATTTTAATTTTTTCTGAGATATTTTGAGTACAATGTTGTTGATGTCATGTTTTAAAATTTAATTTTGAAGTTTTTAATGTTAATTACAGATGAATATGAGCGGGATGAAACAAGACAACTTTATGTGGATCTAAACAGTAACATGGAGGTAAGTGTTAGTGAAAATATGATTTATTTTAAATAAAATAATTTTTTTGGTCTTTTTGAGACAAGATCTTCCTGTGGCCCCAGTTGGCATAGAGTTTGATGCATAGACCAGGCTGGTCTCCGTCTCACAGAGATCCAACTGCCTCTGCCTCTTAAGTGTTGGGACTTAAGGTGTGCACCACTGTGCCTGGCTTAAACAAAAGAATTTCTAAGCAAAGTAGAGTGACAGCTACAATGATACTGTCAACCATGATTACTAAAAGATTATTATTACTATTATTATTATTAATTATTATTATTATTTTGGTCTTTTTGAGACATAGTCTCCCTGTATCCCCAAGTGTCCTGGAACTCACTATGTAGACCAGGCTGGCTAGAAGATTATTATTTATTGATACATGATTGAATCACTAGTATAATTCTTAAGGTTCTGAATGATAAATTCTGTTTTGTTATATAGTAGTTCTTTGGGAGTGGAGCATGTGAGACAGGGTCTCTGGCTCTTAGAATCTTTCCACCCCCCTCTTCCACCATGGTCCCTGAGCCCTGGGGTGGGTGGATTTTAATATAGGAGTCCTGTCTAAGGACCCACACTCTGTAGACTCTTACTCTCTGCGTTTTGGCCATTTGTGACCAATGCGTTTCTGGCCCTCTGTTGCATGAGGGAGCTTCACTGATGAGAATTGAAAGATGCATTAGTGTTCTCTTCATCCCTTGTTCTATGTTCTGTGAGCCTTAGGTGTAGAGGTTGCAATCCTAGATGTGCTACTTAGTTTGGGCAATTCACAGACAATCTCCTTCTGTGACCAGTTGTGGATCTCTTTAATTATCTCTTTCTCTTGAAAAAGAAGCTTCTTTTGTCAGTGGTGATTGGGATACTTATCTATAGATTTAAGGATCCATATTTTGCACATAGTAAGAAATTACATTTGTCTAGGGATGTGAGAGCCTTGGAGTTTTCTCTAAGATCTATGACCTCACCAGTTATGTATATTTGACTAGGTTTACAGTACCACACATGAGTTTCCTCCCATTGAATGGGCTTTAAGTCCAATTAGGAAGCTGTTGATTACCCCCAAGATAAAAATGCAACTACTGCGCCAATGTCATTTGCTGTGCTGGCCTTGAAGCTAGGGTTAGATTATCAATTGATGTTCTTCCTTAGCAGCTTGTGTAGTGCTCTCCAAAGCTATGAGAGCTATCCTTCAGGGAGGTGGCTTTCAGGTCATTTAGCTCTGTTACTCCAAATCCTGTGTCCAAAGTATGTCTTGTCTTCAGCAATAGGGTCTTACCATCAAGTTCTGTGAGGCAATCAAGGGTTGTGACAATAGCCTGTGTAATTTTGGGAGTCTTTTGGACTACCCTGACCAACAACACAAAACAAATTTTCTCCTGTCTGGCACTGTTTCTTGTTATGTAGCCTTCAATTATACTCACAGACTTGTGTAGAGATATTGTATGTGTAATTTTTCAGTAGGTTTTTGGACTAATATGATTCCCTCTGTTTTTAAAATTTTTTTTATTAAGCTTCTATATTCTCATACAGCAGTTCTCAATCAAACCCAGACCCCCTTCCCCATGCATGCCTCCCCTATCCCTCCACCAGAGACCATGTATTCTTCTACACCTGGTAAGTCCTATCCAGTCAAGCATTTGCACCCAGATGTCCTTCAGTGCAAATTCGTTCACTGGAGTCCAGTCAGTCCATCCAGAGATCATGTGCAGGCATACTTTCCCTGACCCAGCAGCAACCAGCCTCCAACAGCAATCAGTCTAGGGCCAGCCTGCCACCCATCTTTCTTCTCCCCTCTGGGCCTTTGTTCAGTTGAGTTGGCATGGGTCCTGTGCTTGATACCACCATTGCCATGTGCAAGCTTCCAGTGGCCTGAAAGACTCTGCTTCCCTGTGTTCATGAACGAGCCCTGGCTCTTAAAATTTTTCTGCCCCCTCTTCTGCACTGGTCCCTGAGCCATGGGTGGGTGACATCCAATATAGGAGTCCTATCTAGGGACACATACTCTGTAGTCTCTTATTCTTTAAAACTTGGGCAGTTGTGGCCTTCTGTGTGCATCTCACTTTGCTGTACGAGGAAGCTTTACTGGTGAGAGTTGAGGGATGTATTAGTTTTCTGTCTACCTTTGTTCTGCTATGTTCCATGAGCCTTAGTTGTAGAGATTCAACTGTAGATGTGTCACCTAGTACTGGGCATCTCTTAGACATATATTCTCGGTGTCTGACCAGTTGTGCAATGCTGCAGTAGCCCCCATCTGTTGCAAAAAGAAGCTTCTTTGATGAGTGGTATATTGAATGCTTGTCTGTAAATATAAGGATTGATATTTAGCATGTAGTAAGAAGTTTCATTTGTCTTGAGATATGAAAGAGATAGGGTTTTCTCCAGGACCTATGTCCTCTCTTTCCATGTGTATTTGACTGAGTTTACAGTGCCACCCATGATCTCCCTCCCACTGAGAGAGCTTCAAGTCCAATTAGATAGCTGTTGATTGCCCCCAGATAACAGTGCCACTGCTGCAACAATAGAGGTAGTTTGCCATGCCAGTTTTTCTGGTTATTAGGCTGTAGGGCTGGGGTGGACCATTGATTGTTTTTCTCCCTTGGAGTTTGCAAATCATCATCTAGCATTATGATAGCCGAACCTCAGTTAGAAGGCTTCCAGGTCAGTTCCTGCTCCATTTTTTAGTATGCTTGTCTGTATTTAGCATATAGTAAGAAATTTGTTTAGAGAAATGATAGAGATAGGGTTTTCTCTAGGATCTACATCCTCTCTTGCCTTGTGTACTTGACTGAGTTTACAGTGCCATCCATAAGTTCACTCCCACTGAGGAGGCTTCAAGTCCAATTAGATACCTGTTGATTGCCCCCCACCCCCACCCCCCGAGATAACAGTGCCACTACTGCACCTATAGAGGTAGTTTGCCAGGCCAGTCCTTATGGTTATTAGGCTTTAGGACTGGGTTGGAACATTGATTGTTTTTCTCTCTTGGCAATTTGCATATTATTATCCAGCATTATGATAGCCAAACTTTGGTTAGAAGGCTTCCAGGTTAATGTTACCAGGGGGGAGGTGGAAAAAGTGGGAGTGTTAGCCAGGAAGGACAGGAGGAAGGGATATGCAAGGGGCCACACTGTGGAGGGTAGGGAGGGAAATCAGGAGAGGGGGATGGTGGGAGGCAGTTGTTACTGAGAGGAGGGTGGGGATAATGGGGGCATTGAGACTGGAGAGGGAGCAGGGGGATAGAATGGGAGGAGGAAGAGTGGAGATGGGGAAGTCTTGGGGGGCTGGGAAGCCCAGAGGGAGGTGTGGTGTCCTCAGGACACCATGGGAGGTGTTTATAGAGTGTCTGAACATTGATGCAAGTGTATACATGGGAGCTGCTTGGCAGGGGACACAGTGCTAAACAGAGGAGACCTCCCTTTGAGTGATTGGTGGGAATGATTCAGGAGACTCCCAGGATAACACAGGCTATTGCCAAAACTCTTGGTAGTCTCTCAGGACCAGTAAATGGGACCCTACTGCTGAAGACAGAACATACTTCAGGTATAGGGTTTGAAGCAATGGGGCAGGAATTGACCCTCTGGTTTTTTATACTAGCTAGACACTATTTATTTCTCCTCTTTCTCTCCCTGTCTTATTCTCCCTCCCTGCCCTCTACATTTAAAGTGTCCCCATTTCCCCCATTTTTCCCTTGATAGTTTCTGTCTGTTATGGTCCCACCTCTCTTGCTACTTTCTTCCCTTTTTTCCCATAGTTTTTGTATAGCCCTCCCCCCCCTCCCATTTAAACACCCCCCTTTTTACACATCTCTCCCTTAGTAACACCTGTCTTCTACTATTCTTTCTTGGGTTCCTTCTTTCCCTTTACCTCCCTGGTTCCCTTCCGTTTTTCTAGTTACTGCAGTATCAGGATATGTACTCACTTACAAGGATTTGGTGCTATGATCCACAAATGAGGGAGAACATACGTCTTTTGTTTTTCTGAGTCTGTGTTACTTTACTTAGTAATAACAGTTTCTAAATCAATCCATTTACCTGCAAATTTATTTATTTATTTATTTACTGATTGATTGATTGATTGATTGATTGATCTTTTTGAGACAGGGTTTCCCTGTAGCCCCAGCTGTCCTGGAACTCACTATGTAGACCAGGCTGGCCTTGAACTCACAGAGATCCACTTGCCTCTGCCTCCTAAGTGCTGGGACTACAGGGGTGCACCACCATGCCTGGCTCAAATTTCATTATTTAATCTTTCTTTTTTAATATTTTTTATTTATTTTTTATTTTTATTTTTATTTTTTAAAAATTTTTATTTTATGTGTATGAGTGTATTGCCTGCATGTATGTGAGTTCACCCGTGTCATGCAGTGCTGCAGAGGTCAGAAGAGGGCTTCGGATTCCCCTGGAACTGGAGTTAAGGACGGTTCGTAGCTGCCATGTGGGTGCTGGGAATCGAACTCGGGTCCTCTGCAAGAGCAGTCAGTGCTCTTAACCGCTGAGTCATCTCTCCAGCCCCTTATTTATTATTTTTATTTTATGTGTATGAGTCCATTGCCTGCATGTATGTGAGTGGTGCACCCATCATGCAATGCCGCAGAGGTCAGAAGAGGGCTTCAGAGTCCCCTGGTACTGGAGTTAAGGACGGTTCATAGCTGCCATGTGGGTGCTGGGAATTGAACTCGGGTCCTCTGCAAGAGCAGTCAGTGCTCCTAACTGCTGAGCCATCTCTCCAGCCCCTATTTAACCTTTCTTTACTGCTGAGTAGAACTCCATTGTGTAAATGTACCACATTTTTATTATCCACTCATCAGTTGAGGGGCAATTAGTTTGCTTCCATCTCTTAGCTGTTGTGAAAAGAGCAGCAACAAACATGGTTGTACAATTGTCTGTGCAATAGGATGAGTCCTTTGGGTATATGCCAAGGAGTGGTATAATCAGGTCATATGGTAGGTTCATTTTTTAGACTTTTAAGAGTTCTCCACACTGCTT